GTATAGATCTTAACTACGGAATATTCGTTCATTATTTTTCAGTTTTCCACAGTTCAGTTATGAGCCAGCTACCACTATTACCACAACTACCATTATCACCATAGCTACCACAATTGCTATCACCACAGCTACCACCATTACCACAGCTACCTACCACCAGTACCATCACCACAATGACTACCACACACCACCAATGCCACCATAACCACAGCTACCACCATCACCACAACTACCGTCACCCCAACTACCACAATCACCGGAACTACTATTACCACCACAACTACCATCATTACAGTTACCATTACCACAACCATCACCATCACCACAGCCTCCACCACCACAACTACCACCACCACCACAACTACCACCACCACAACCACCACAACCAACGGCAATCCTTCCTTCCTTTTATTATTCAATTCGTCAACCATTTTTTGCTTGGAGCTCCTTAAGACAATATTGGAAGGGTGACTGGAAGATGATGGCGCCATTAGATAGGATAATTATCTACTTGCCATTCATATTTAGGACTGGGAGAGAAGGATGAGAATAAAGGCGGAAGGGGCGAAGAGAAAGGGAGGGAAGGGATTGGTGGGGGTGCGGGGGGGGGGGGAGGGCATATGATTCCCGTATGGTGCCCAATATGCCCGTCGCTGATCCATGGGGCATGAAGCTACACGCACGCACACACACACGCACGCACACACACACACGTGTGTGCACCTGTTGATTGACGGTTGAGAGGCGGGACCAAAGAGCCAGAGCTCAACCCCCGCAAACACAACTAGGTGAGTACACGTTGGAACCTGTACACTTGTTGATTGACGGTTGAGAGGCGGGACCAAAGAGCCAGAGTTCAACCCCGCAAACACAATTAGGTGAGTACACGTTGGAACCTGTAGATTGACGGTTGAGAGGCGGGACCAAAGAGCCAGAGCTCAACCCCCGCAAGCACAATTAGATGAGTACACACACTCAATACTAGAGCCCAATAGGCTCAGAAACCTGTACGCCAGTTGATTGACAGTTTGAAGCACAAGTAGATGAGTAGATGTAGGTGAGTACACACAAAGATTGTGGGAGAGGTAACAAGTGGTACCTTGAGGTACCTTAGTACCTCAAGGTACTAAGGCCCAACCTGTTCCTAATATATGTAAACTATATAAGAGAGGAAGTAAGCTCGTTCTTATCTGTTTGCTGACCTTGAAGGAGCCGGTCGGTCGAGCGGACAGCACGCTGAACTTGTGATCCTGTGGTCCCGGGTTCGATCCCGGATGCCGGCGAGAAACAGTGGGCAGAGTTTCTTTCACCCTATGCCCCTGTTACTTATCAGTAAATAGGTACCTGGGTGTTAGTCAACTGTCACGGGCTGCTTCCTGGGGGTGGAGGCCTGCTCGAGGACCGGGCCGCGGGGACACTAAAGCCCCGAAATCATCTCAAGATAACCTCAAGATAACGATACTAAGCTAATGAGGCGAATCAGAACTGAGGAGAATTGTAATACAAACAGACCTTGATAATGTCACACTCTCCAGAGGTAGTCTGAAAACTGGCTACTAAAGTTTAACCCTGACAAGTGCAAGGTTATGAAGATAGAAGCTCGAGGAAGGAGACCACACATACAGAACAGGATGAAGGGAAGACAACTTGCAACTCCTGAAAATGGTAGACTTAGGAGTGAACACAACTGGAGAAACGCACCAGAAGCGTGGCTGTTTACAGCGTGCATCTGAGACTACCCAGACGCATAGATTCGAATCCGCATCACAGCTTCAATGGATTTTCTCATTATTATAATAATTATTATTATTATTACTGAACACTTGATGGATTGTATACTCTGGTGATGACAGTTGCGACCTCTAAGGGCCAGACAATCCAATGCACTTCATTTGCATATGCAATATTGCTGCTACTAGCGAGAGGTGGGGGGAGACATCTCCCGTCCACGAGGCTAACCATAGCCGTGCTTCTTGCCCCGCTCCTGTGCCAGGTAAGTTACGGGCTCACCATAGCCCGTGCTACTTGGAACTTGTTCCGAGTAGCTGAATCTCTAACAACAACAATCTCTAGCGAGAGGTGATTGAGAACCATCTCACTCCCCACACTTGTACCACACGTAATGTTCACTGTTAACAATGTTCTCCGAACAATAAAGCCCAACAGGCTTGGAGGCACACCACTAGTAAAGTTAAAGTATGAACTTCATGGTGCAGAAGAAGAAAATGTTAATGTTGATATTAAGTAAGCCAGAGAGGGCCGGAAACTGGGTGGTAAGCTGAGCCGCAGTTGGTAATCTCGTGTCGAAAAACCAGAGCCTGTTTTAGGGTCTTCCTGGGCTGGGTGACGGAGCGGGTGCTGAAGCTATTGGGCAACTGGCTAGTTTATGGTCCAGCTGGCTCTGTGGTGGTGGTGGTGTGGTGGTGGTTGTGGTTATGTGGTGGTGATGGTGGTGACTCTGTGGTGGTGGTGGTGGTGGTTCTGTGGGCTCTGTGGTGGTGGTGTTTGTAACTCTGTGGTTGTGGTGGTGGTGGTAGCGGCTCTGTGGTGGTGGTTCTGTGGTGGTAGTAGTGGTGGTGGTGGTGGCTCTGTGGTGGTGGTAGCGGCTCTGTGGTGGTGGTTCTGTGGTGGTAGTAGTGGTGGTGGTGGTGGCTCTGTGGTGGTGGTAGCGGCTCTGTGGTGGTGGTTCTGTGGTGGTAGTAGTGGTGGTGGTGGTGGTTCTGTGGTGGTGGTTGTGGTGGTGGTGTTGCCGGCTCTGTGGATGTCCCCCCCCCCTGCTCTGTTACATGGCCTCCTGCAAATGTTGGAAATGTTTCTCATTACTTATATTTCTTGTACTTTTATTTATTTTTGCCTCCTTATCCTGTTCCTCTTGACGCTCTTTCATTCGCCATCACTTCCTAATTTCCTTCCCTATCCCTTCTAGTCCCTTTCCTCCTCCTCCTCGTCCTTCTTCTGCCCTCCGCAGGCTGGCGGCGGGCCTGGGTAACTCCATTGATTCATCCCCCGCTCGCGATTAAGACAGTGAAATATACCTTTTGCCGGGAACATTTGTAAAGTGTCACAGAGCCGGTTTAATCTGTTCATATTAACATCATCATTGTCAAACGCGCCTTACTCAGTAGATTGGGGGAGTCCGGGTTGCTTTAGCCGTCAGATATTGTGTATTGTGTTTTGATTTTGAGCTGCAGAGAAGGGCGGGAGGGAGAGAGGGAGAGAGAGACTGAGGGAGGGAAGATGAATGAAATGTAAACTAGGTAGGGAGGGAGAGAAGCGTGAGGGAGGTACTAGGGGGGGAGAGGTAAGAGTTGATGAGAATTGGGGTGCACGCTTATCCGAAATGGCGCAGTTAATATTCTTATTCTGGAACAGAGTGATGATAAATTGACTGTCCCGGATGCCGGTTGTTGGGGTGAGGGTGTTGGACTGTATATCGCACCGTTGGCTTAGGGAGTGTTTGACTGGCTCTCAAATACTGTGGAGAAGGTAGTCAGTATACTCCAGGTAGTCAGCATACTCCAGGTAGTCAGTGTGACTACTGGTTTACCTGAGTACACCAGGGTGTGAGTTGTCATACTCCTGAAGCCTAGGCTTTGCATTATGATTACTTGATCTACAAGTGCTATACCTGTGAATATATCAGACTTTTGTAGTGCTATACCTGTGTATATATCAGACTTTTGTATAGTTATTGTGTGTATACATCTTCCCTTAGTGCGTTGTGTTGACAAATACATATACCGAGGGAATGTTGACAATATCCTCACTGAACCGTAGTGGATAAATGGCTCTCCTCTGCCTCGTAGGGTAAGGGAGTAATTTCATTTGCAAAGTTGACTGTGTTTGGTCTTCCTATTTACTAATTGCTTGGTAAGAGCAACGCTCAGATAGAGTTGGACTCTCTGATTCATTCCCAATGTGAGTTTTGATATAAAACCAATATCAACGAGCATGAATTGTCATTGTGTGTGTATATATATATATATATATATATATATATATATATATATATATATATATATATATATATATAATGCAATACTGTATATATAAAGGTATAAAACATAATATTTTTCATATATATTTTATTATTAAAGAAGTTAACAATGGATAATTTATTACAAACAGACAGAAAACACACATTAAAAATGACTTACGGCTCGCGGGCCATTAAAAGCAAGCTGCCGCGGCAATCATTCAAATGCATATTCGAACAAGCACCGAATGGCCCAATAAAAAACCTGTTGTTTCAAAGAGGCGATGTGTACTGTGTGAAATATTGCTCCCAGCTTGGCCATTTATTCATAACTTCGGTATAATTAAGTCGGATAATAAAATACTCTCTTATATTCATAATCTGACAGATTTAAAGAGAGTGCATTTTAGAACAGTCTTTGATATGTGTGTGTGTGTGTGTGTGTGTGTGTGTGTGTGTGTGTGTGTGTGTGTGTGTGTGTGTGTGTGTGTGTGTGTGTGTGTGTCAAGTCTCTGGGGAAATGAAACAAAGCTTTCACTAGCTTTCATCTTTATTTGATAACATTTGAATGGCTATTGTCATATATTAGGAAGGCTTTGTTTATGTTCTTGGTTCGCAAGAATGTGTGTGACGCCCCTATAAAGCTCTGTGGATTGATGAAGGTGTAGTAAGGTTGATAGCTGTGTGTGTGTGTGTGTGTGTGTGTGTGTGTGTGTGTTTGTGTGTGTACTCACCTATTTGTATCTGCAGGATCGAGCTCAAGCTCTTGGACCCCGCTTTTCCAGCCGTTGGTTGTGTGTGCGTGCGTGCGTGCGTTTGCACTCATTTAACTCACCCATATAGACTATCAGCAAAAGTCTCGTCGTAGCATATTTACATCATTTCATTTTTTTTGCAGTAATCTGTGGCTGGAGTATGCTAGTACGCGAGTTAGTATGTCACTTATGGGGTGCTGTTCACCCTCCCCGACCCTCTGTACAGGCACAGCATTTCATCAGCTCTGCAGCATCACAGCGTGACGATCATGTGGCATATGCTGCATTATGGTATCATAGCATCATGTCATAACATCACATCATTTCATCTATCCCACCCACATGGCAGCATCAGATCATTACAGCATCATAACAGTATCACATGGCAGCATCATCACACCATCATATCACATTGCAGCTTCAGAGCAATACAGCATCAGAGTAATACAGCATCATCACAGCAACACATTTCACCGTCAGAACAATACAGCATCACCAGAGAAGCAACACATTGCAGCATCAGAGTAATACAGCATCATCACAACAGCAGCAGCAACAGCATCAGAGCAATACAGCAACAGCATCAGAGCAATACAGCATCTGAGCAATACAGCATCATAACAACAGCAGCAGCATCAGAGCAATACAGCATCATAACAGCAGCAGCATCAGAGCAATACAGCATCATCACAACAGCAACAGCATCAGAGCAATACAGCATCATCACAACAGCAGCAGCATCAGAGCAATACAGCATCATCACAACAGCAGCAGCATCAGAGCAATACAGCATCATCATAACAGCAGCAGCATCAGAGCAATACAGCATCATAACAACAGCAGCAGCATCAGAGCAATACAGCATCATCACAACAGCAGCAGCATCAGAGCAATACAGCATCATCACAACAGCAACAGCATCAGAGCAATACAGCATCTGAGCAATACAGCATCATAACAACAGCAGCAGCATCAGAGCAATACAGCATCATAACAACAGCAGCAGCATCAGAGCAATACAGCATCATCACAGCAGCAGCAGCATCAGAGCAATACAGCATCATCACAACAGCAGCAGCATCAGAGCAATACAGCATCGTCACAACAGCAGCAGCATCAGAGCAATACAGCATCATAACAACAGCAGCAGCATCAGAGCAATACAGCATCACAACAGCAGCAGCATCAGAGCAATACAGCATCATCACAACAGCAGCAGCATCAGAGCAATACAGCATCATCACAGCAGCAACAGCATCAGAGCAATACAGCATCATCAGAGCAGCAGCAGCAACAGCATCAGAGCAATACAGCATCATCACAGCAAAGTCGTTTTGATACCTAGCTTCGTCTTCGGAGCTGGGTAATATGACGTTTAGACCACCAGGGAAATCCAACATAAAATTAAAGTACAGTGTACGTAGGCTTAGCATCTCAACCCGTAGATTACACCTGACACAAGGTTGGGAATTACCTCCTGGGAATTGGAATCTAGGAAACGGCGCAGCGGATGGGGTTAGGAATATGGTTAGGGGGCTGAGGGAAGGGTGAAAGGATGGGGCTTGGGGGAGAATGGGGGATAGACAGGGGTGGATTGGGATTGGGCTGCGAAAAAATGGGTTTAGGAGACGATCGATACAGTTGAGGGAGGATTAGCTATAGGAAGGATGGTAGTTTAGGGAGAATGGTAGTTTAGGGAGGATTGTGTGTGGGGGAAAGATATAGTGCAGGGAGAGCTGGTAGTGGAGAGATAGAGAAGGAAGGGAGTAAATAGGGACGTTGTTTGTATTTTGAAGAATTAGTTACATTTGTAATTCGTCTCAGAAATGTTGATGCTTCAGATTTCGATGTTTGTACTCAATATGGGGCTCATTAGTCTTATTATTAATTATATCTTATTGCTTGTATTAAATTTATCCATATAGTGTTTAAATTTTACCATATATATATATATATATATATATATATATATATATATATATATATATATTATATATATATATATATAAAATTTATTTTTTTTGCGTGTGTATTGCTTTTATTGTAAATAATTGTTTTCTGATAATTTTTGTTCCTTCGCTATATAGTCGTAATGGCTTGGCGCTTTCTCCTGATAATTCTCCCTTCTCTCCTTCGTCATTTTTTATTATTTTGTTGCAGTATTTGTTCTGTTTCTCGTGTTTTCTCTGGAGTGTTCTTCTCCCCTTCCATTCTGGTGTTTGCATGCCTCTCTTCCTCCCCCTCTTCCTGTATGTAAATTAGACTCGCAAGAAATGGCGTGAAAGAATTGGCGTTCAGTATTTCTTCTTTTTAATCAGATCCTCAGTGAATATAAAGCTACAGGTGATTGAGAAGAGGCGAAAGGAAAGGATAAAAGGGAGAGAAAGGGGAGGAGCAGAGAGGGAAGAGGGAAGTTGAGGATGAGGAGTAGGTAGAAGGAAGAGGATTTAACTGCGTTGGTGGGAAAAAAGCTAACAAATACTATTTGTAACATTCGTCAGACCAACGATAGAAAAATGCAGCACCGGAGTGGTGGCCGCACAACAAGAAACACGGGGACGTAATGAGAGGACAAAATTGCGCAGCTATACCGGTACCGGAACTGAAGGATAAGAGCTATAAGAGGGGGCTAAATAAGTGGAGCTGACACCTTTGGAATGTATAAGGAAAAGGGAAGTCCTAAGGATTTCAAGTGCATCGTGGAATGTGACAAAGTGGACAAGACTGCTTCGTAATTATGGGGACCTTCTGCCTGGGCTCTATGCCGACTCTATCTCAAAGAGTCTGGGTTTAGTGTCCTCTTCCTTGTGGAAGAGGACATGTAGTTCCAGTTCATACAGGAGTGAGGCATACAGCGGCGGACTGTATAAAAGTATAAAGTGTCATAAAAAAATTTATACTATAAAAGTATAAATGTGTCACTGGCTTTCAATTATTGACAAAATTCTCGACATAATTATCTAAAAACGAATGTTTTCGAAAAAAAAACGCTTTGCGTTGAAGGGTTGAAGTATTAGGAAAGTCTGAGTGGCGATTGTCACTACACTTCAACAAAGACGTAATCAACGAGACATGACAACGACATCAAAGATTTTCACGGGAATCGATAAGATTGATAACAACAAATTTTAAATATACAAACCAGAACAAGAGGACATGATTAGAAACTTGAGGTGTAGATGAGTCGCCGAGATGTTAGAAATTACTTTTGTAGCATAATCGTAAAAAAAAAAATCTAGATGGAGGGATAGTGGAATTTAATGCAAGTAATAGGTTCAAAATCCGATTAGAAATAAAAGCTATTCATCCTGATTATAGTCTTTAGGATTTTATTTTAAGAAAATAGGATTTTATTTTAAGAAAATAGGATTTTATTTTAAGAAAATAGGATTTTATTTTAAGAAAATAGGATTTTATTTTAAGAAAATAGGATTTTTTCTTGATATTAGGAATGATTTTAGGATTTGTTAAGAAAATAGCAGCCATTGAGATGAAAGAGAGAGAAAGAGAAAGACAGAGAGAGACAGAGAGAATGATTAAGCAAATTCGTTGCCTCAGTCCTACATACAACCAGGTATTACATCCTCTCCTGATAAAATTCTGGAATCTTGACGCCCACGAAGCGGGCTTGCTTGCTTCCCTGCCATAGTCCAAGTCTTACACCAAGGCGGGAGGGAACATATCTTTCTCAAACTATCCCTACTTTATATAGGATGACATTTCAGCGTAGCGTTGTAGCATGATAATATTTCATAGCGTGACTGCACACTGTTGGGTACACCCAAAAGAGAATCTTTATACCATATTTGTATGCTGTGGGGAGATTTGATATGCTCTGGGATTACCGTGTATGGCATCATATATGTGCTGTTTGTTATAGTCATATATGTGCTGTACGGTTTCCTTATTCTGTTTAGCTTTAGTTATTATGCAGCAGAATATAATTATGTTGTTGTTTTTGTATTTTCTTTATTGGCTATTGAGATGTATTGTTGGTTTAGTTCTGTATTTGTTGAATCAGGACCTGTTTAAATTGTTTTATGTCCTTGTTAAGATTACTTTGTTTTTCTTGTCAAGTGAGTGGCATTTTGCTGTATTAGTCGAGATCCGTTATAATTGTATTAAAGGTCATGGCTGTTGTATTTTGGATTCATTATTGTTTTATTGAGATCTATGAGTGTTCCATTAAGACGTGTATTAGCTATGTTAAGATCCGCATTGTAAGTACATTTGAGTTGTATTTAAACCGGCAATACATGTATAAAGAAGTATGTGTTTGTATCAAAATATATATTAGTTATACAAATGTTCGTGTTGATGATTATTGTTGTTGTACAATGGGATCTAACCTGTGTTCCTGAGCTCCTCAGGGTTGTTCACTTGGGCGGTGGCACCGGTGTAACAGCTAGGGAAATCTCTATATAATTTTCTACAGTATTATTATCTTTCTCTGTATTTTCTCTCTCTCTCTCTCTCTCTCTCTCTCTCTCTCTCTCTCTCTCTCTCTCTCTCTCCTTATTCCTTATATCTTCCACCTTTCCTACCCAGACGTATCAAATTCCACAGAATGAGGACTATGACTCGACCACTGGACCCAGCCAATCCCCTCTTCTCTGTGTCCTCTGTCTCCCCCTCTAGTCCACAGTTTACATGTTACAACAGTTGATAATTTGTCATGTAAGGCACAGTGTCTAGGGCACCAGGATGGGAGAATGGCACGCCCTCTGGTCCTCAAGTAGGCCTTAGTAAGGGATTGGCTCTTGTGTGCTCAGGGTGCCTAGAAGGCGGAGTTTCGTACCACTCCTAGAAGTCCTTACCGGGGTTCGGAATGGGCAAGACCTCTCCAGATTTTGAGGAGGGACTATATTGTATACAATGTACAATGTATTTTCCAATGTACAATATGTATGTCCCTTAATATAGAGGGGGGACTATATTAGTTTATGACTAATATAACTTTAGAGCCGGTGGCTGAGAGGACAGAACACTGGACGCGTGATCCTGTGATCCCGGGCGCCGGCGAGAAACAATGGGCAGAGTTTCTTTCACCCTGATGCTCCTGTTAACTAGAAGTAAATAGGTACCTGGGAGTTAGTCAGCTGTCACGGGCTGCTTCCTGGGGGGTGGAGCCCTGGTCGAGGACCGGACCGCGGGGACACTAAGCCCCGAAATCATCTCAAGATAACCTCAAGAATATAGATTATATGTATATATAACAGGCAACAATATTTGTTATATTTTACGTGGTTGATTGTGTTATAAAATAGAGATAATTACAATAATAAGTACACTTCATGTTGTGCATAAGGAGAGAGAGCAACCTTTTATAGCTCCTTATATGAAATAACGATAATTAAATTACCACGTTGGCATTAATGACTCCATGGTGTTTTAGACGATACATGTATCGTGAATTATTGTGGTTAGGTTTAGTAAAAACGGCATTTTCTGCAACTGGTTCTTAATGGTGGTACAAATTTCGCAACTGCTGCGCTTTTCGTTCTATGTTATATTACTGAATGTGACCGAAAGAGTGAGACCAATCATTTCTATCTTCTTTACATTTGTCCTCACTACTGAAGGAAGTTGAAAAATTAACTCTATAAAGTTAATTTTTACAGTTTTATTTGTCCTGATGGTAAGAGATTCGTTTCGTTAACTCTTGTTAACATTTTCGAAGGCAGAGCTGGAATGATTACAAATTGATTGATGAAGATTAAGCCACCCAAAAGGTGGCACGGGCATGAATAGCCCGTAAGTGGTGGCCCTTTTGAGCCATCACCAGTATCAAAAGATGATACTGGAGATCTGTGGAGGCGCGACTGCACCCTGCGTGACGGGAGATGTCTCCCGGACCAAATGGTGACCAAAGAGTGATTACAAATTTTCTTGCTGCATTATTTATATCCGAGGATGAGGTGAGGGTGAAGCACCTCCCTTATAGGTCCATTGTATCTTGTCAATCTCCTGTTTGCATGATGGCTTGTGCAGGATGTTGTATGTACCCTCGTGCGGTGGAAGTTGGCAGAATGTAATTTGGTGGTAGTTGGCTATTGGTACGTGGCTTGGTTTCCTTGGTGTATAGGGCCTTGCCCGATGATTAAGTAATTAAGTAATAATTACTATTATTACTTAACGTATACCGTTGATAGGTTAAGTAATAATTGTAAATAAGATGCTTATCTTAACATACTAAGAAGGTTAGGTGAGGTCGGTGTTTTCTATGAAGCTTTTCAAGGTAAACTAAAATATTCACAATCAATTAGTATGTCACATATGCACTTATTAAATAAGCCAATATTGACAGTAAGTAAGTGTGAGAACGGGTTGATATATACCCATACG